TACTAGCTGCCTCATTTCACTGTATTTTCTACCCCACAAAATTGTGTTTTACTATTGTGTCACGTTTGTGAATTTCACCATTTGAGAGAAGCAGTCACTCAACATCCCAAACATATCTAAGCATTCTGGTTCAAAAATAGCAAACAGTGCATACAAAAGGCAAATTTTAAGTATGGAGGAGAAGTTAGAAACAGACATTTGGAAAGAAATGAGAACGTGATATATCCTGAGCAGTAGGTATAAATGAATCCACATTGTCACAAAAATAAAAATATAAGACTGGACCACCTTCAAATACTGTGAAGTCAATAAGAACAGGTAGAAGAAATTTTCTATAGAGTTTCCTCAAAAAACTAAAAAATGATTATACCATATAATCCAGGAATTCCACTCTGGGTATTTATCGGAAGAAAACATAAAACATGAATTTGAAACGATACATGCACTCCTATGTTCATTGAGGCATTATTTACAGTATCCAAGGTATGGAAGCAACCTAGATACCAATTAATGCATACAATGGAATATCACACAGCAATAAAAAAGAATGAAACCTTGCCATTTGTGACATCATGGATGAGGGTATTATGCTAAGTGAAATAAGTCAAGCAGAGAAAGACATGATTTCACTTATGTGTGGAATCTTAAAAAGCAAAACATAACAAAAAACAGACTCAGGAACAGTCCAAAAGGGATGGTTACAAGAAGGGAGGGGAGAGTGAGTGAGGATGGGTGAATGGGGAAAAGGGAATATAGTGAATACTAATATAATACAGAGGTGATATGCAAATTGACTATCACTCCATTATACAAGATGGCTGCCCCTATATGGTCAAAGATGGATGCCCCTATATGGTCACAAGATGGCTGGAAGGAGGACAGTTGTGGGCAATCAGGCCAGCAGGGGAGGGCAATTAGGGTCAACCAGATCTGTAGGGGAGGGCACGTGACGGGGGACCAGACCGGCACGGGAGGGCAGTTAGGGGTAATCGGGCTGGCATAGGAGAAGTTAAGTGTTGATCAAGCTGGCAGGGGAGTGGTTAGGGGATGATCAGGTTGGCAGACAGAAGTAATTAGGGTCAGGCAGGAAGGCAGTAGGGAACCAGCAGTCTTGGATTGTGACAGAAAGCATACTCTAGGACAGTGTTTCCCAACCTTCTCTCATGATGAGAATCACCTGGTGGAGTTGTTAAAACACAGATTCCCGGATCCCAACTAAGAAGTGCTAAACTAGAATTTTTGGGAACATATAGGTAAAATTGTATATTTAACTAGTGCTCTAAGACAGATTTTATATACAGAGCACTAAGTTAGGTATGCAATTTTACCTATATGTTCTCAAAAATTCTAGTTTAGCACTTCTTAGTTGGGATCCGGGAATCTGTGTTTTAACAACTCCACCAGGTGATTCTCATCATGAGAGAAGGTTGGGAAACACTGCTCTAGGATTTAAGACTTGGAAAGGTAGCATTACAGTGATGTTTGGTACCAGTGCCTGGTAGAGACTTGGAACTGATGAAATCAGTAGTAGTTGTAGTTGATCATTTACCAAAATGAGCCTTTTAAAAGAAATAGTTAAAGTCGGCCTTAGAGTTCACACTACAGGTGGAGTGCCCAAATCTGCCTTGATAGTTTTACTCAACTCTTCTCTGTTACAAAGGATTATTGCAAAACTCCAAAATGAAAAAGAAAAAAAAATTATATTTGAAAATTCTTAGTTTATCTGAGACTGAACAAAACGTTCTTTTTTCTTTCTGCCTCCAAAAAAAAATATCTCAGTTATAGCCTCTTGATAAAAATACGATAGCATTTATGGCTTATTATTTGAAGTGAGCATTTAAAATGCTATTTGCTGTTACTAAAGGTGAGTATGGAGATATGGTTATAAAGTTTTGGAAGAGATTTAACATCAGGAAGGCATTGCTACCATTATAGAAGCCTGTAGCGATACAATGGAGTGTTACATTACCTACAGGGGAAAGTTCTTAATTTGTAACTCTGCAGATAAATTTTTAAAATTCAAAACAAGTGTGTTGACATAGGAAAACAGGTTGGCTTTGAGTTCCCAATCCTGATATAGCCACAGATGACTTGAAATAGGTTGCACCTGTTGGTTATGTAGATGTAGAAGGTGAAGAAGATAAAAACCTAAGGGCTTCACTGGGTCAGTGTAACACATCAAGTTATCAGGTCTTTTTAAGTGTTGTTGAAAACAGACTGGTTCAAAGGTAATGGCTTGCTGCTGAATGTAATAGGAGAGTCGTGTTGCATGACATCCAGTTGAATTTGGAATTATACAGGCAACTTCAGTAAGAAATGAAGAAGCTTAACAGCTCCATAGATTTATTTGTTTTGTTTTTTAATTCACTATTTACAATTTCAACCAGTATAGGAGAGACAACAGAAATACAGTGCGTCGTGCCCTTCTATAGCTGGTGCAACTTTCTTTTCCTTTTCAGATAGCCTACTCCCCCTTTCACACACACACACACACCCCTCCCTCCCCCCGTCACTTCACAGTAACTCATATCTGCAATTAGACCTTACAGTGCTAACATCCCCAAGAAAATTTCAATTCGGATTTATCATGCCATTTTTAACACTGTAGTTTTTATTTTCATGATCTTGCACAGCATAGTAATTTTGGAAATGTATACAAGTTATAGCAGAATGGAGTATTATTGGCAGAAGCAGATCTGACCTTCAAAACCATGTGAGTCTGTGCTGGGATTTCTATTAGGACTTGCCAGAGACATCATGCAGCATTCTTATTAATCCAGGTTCTTTTAAGAATCATTGCATGTGCTCAATAGTTATGAAACCCAACTGGCGGAGCACATTGTACTGCACCCTCCGCCTACTACAGAGCCTTCTCTTAATGTGGGCCCTATTCATAACTGACAATGTCAAGGGCTATTTTGTAAACAGAGTAGAGCAGCACACACTGCAGTGAATTATACCTTGCCAACCAATATCCAGAGGCCAACCAAGTGTTGTCCCTTTTTGTTTTAAGAGTAGAATATGCAACACACTCCATAAAAATCTTGAAAGTGGTGGGCCCAGAATTTGAGGGTGGTTATTTTCCACTCTGGGGTGTTTATTTCTTCCTAAGGTCATCTAAAGCACCATTGCTTCCTGCTTATCAAGTCCAGTCAATATGATGTCTTTAGTGTAGAGGGACAAAGTCATATTCTGTGGATTGTGGAAAACAGTAAGAGTCTTTGAGTACTTTATTATGAAAGAGAGCAGGAGAGTAACCAAAACCAGAAGCCTGGGAAGGTGTATCTATCATTGACTTGCTTAGGTAAAAACAAATTGCTTCTACTTGCCCTTTCTAATCGGGATAGGGGAGAGAGAAGCATCTGCCAGATTGATAACTGCATAGTTATATTGATCTGCTCCATTAAAAATACTACATCTGGTATAGCAGCTGCAATTGGGGTCATCATCTGTTTATATTCACCCAAAATAATTTTCCAAGACTCATCCAGCCTTTAGGCCAAGGAGGCACATTGCATTGGGATGGGACAGTGGTGTCACTCTCTGCAGTTCCTTCCGGAATAATGGTATTGCTGCTGCTGCTGCTGCTTTAGAGGGCTAAACTGGGGACTTGGGTTTGGTATTGCCTGAAATGATGGTCCTTATTCAAGGAGCTAATACGGGGTTTCTGCCAGTGCCAAATATGTCTGTCCCAGCTTTTCATTCTGGAACCAGAAAAATAACTACAGGACTGACTCATAACTGCTGGACCCACAGAAACAGATTTGTGCACGAGTGCCACGCTCTATCCACTGAGCCAAACCGGTCTTGGCTGATGTTTAATTTATATATTGTTTAGTTTCACAGAGGGTTTTTTAATTGATTTTTTTTTTTTTTTTAGAAATATCAATCTGTTCCACTTATTTATGCATCCATTGTTTGATTCTTTTTAAAAAAATATATTTTTATTTATTTCAGAGAGGAAGGGAGAGGGAGAAAGTTAGAAACATCAATGATATGAATCAGCTATCAGTCACCTTCTGCATGCACCCTCTACTGGGGATCGAGGCAGCAACCTGGGCATGTGTCCTGACCAGGAATCCAGCCATGACCTCCCAGTTCATAGGTTGATGCTGAACCACTGCACATGCTGGCCAAGCCTGGTTGATGTATGTGTCTTGACTGGGGACCAAACCTGCAATCTTGGCATATTAGGATGATGTTCCTGGGCCCACCCATAATGAAAAGCTGAGCTATCTGACCAGAGCCCACATAAGTTTTTTGACTTTTTTTTTTTAATCGTGTCACTTAAAAAAAAACAAAAACATTTTCATTGATTTCAGAGAGGAAAGGAGAAGGAGAGAGATAGAAACATCAATGATGAGAATCATTGATTGGCTGCCTCCTGCATGCCCCCTACTGGGAATTGAGCCTGTAACAATGGGCATGTGCCCTTGACCGGAATCAAACCTGGAACCATTTGGTCCCCAGGCCGACACTCTATCCACTGAGCCAAATCAGCTAGGGCCATTGTGTCACTTTTATTTTCTGTCTGAGCAATTTATACTTAAGCCATTTTATGAATCAAGACTGAAGTAAAAGTAAGTCTCAGTATTTGTAATTGGAGGTATGAAACTGAACACAGATGAAATATTTTTCTTTTTCCAATAACTTGTAGAGACTTTAATATACCTGAATTATTTCAGGTTAATTTGAGAAATTCTAGTTTTTTATTTTTTAGCAGACTTATCTCATTTTGACCACTGTATGAATGAACTGTGAGTTGTCAGTTGTTGGATATGCAGTCAAGGGCTTTCAGGGATCTTATACCAGCAATATATATAGTTTTTAAATCCTTAACCGTATAAATTTATCATTTTATGTGAACAAAATGAAACATTTTTGGATTCTTCAGATTGAATGTGATAACTTCCAAATCAAGTCAAAATAGAAATGTAATTTGTCTTTAACCTCTGGTTATTGATAATCTCTTAAATTGGTTCTCTTTTTCTCCTCATTAGGGAGAGGAATCAAATGAGTCTGCAGAATCTAGAAGTATTTGGGAAAAGCAGGAAAGTATTGTATTGAAATTGCAAAAAGAATTTCCCCATTTGGGTAGAAAGGTGAGTAATGTGCTGAAATTTAATCAGCATGTACTAAGTGTTTATATTACAAAATAGTGTTTGAGATATAAAAGCTATGAATGAGTTTTACATTTTTCTAATTAAATATTTTTCTTTAAAATATCTTTATATGGCTTGTTAATTGTTTACATTGTTTATTTACCGTATTTGTGAACTATAGTATCAGCATTAAAACCATAATCATAACAAATATAACTGTAGTAACAATTGTTAACTTATGTATAAAATGTAAATTAGCTAGAGAGCCATCTATAACCCCAAGTCAGCTGATTTATCTATTTTTCCTGTTCTACTTTTTTTAAAATTTCTCATAAAAATTTTAAAGTGTCTTGGGTTCAGTTCCCAGTCAAGCACACATGCCTCAGTTGTGGGTTCACTCCCCAGGCCTGATTGGGGCTCATGCAGGAGGCAACCATTCAGTGGGTGTGCCTCTCACATCAACGTTTCTCTCCCTCTCCCCCTTCTACTCTCTCTGAAAAGCAATGGGAAAAATATCCTCAATTGATGATTAACAACAACAAAAAAGCAATTTTAAAGTGTAATACTTCATTTCATTGTGTTAATATTCTGTAAGCTTTGTTCTATTTTCCAGATAGTGAAAATACTTTGAGTCATTAAAGACTCATACAAAGCGTGGTGGTGGTAATAGGACCAGAGTTTAATCATATGATTGAATATGGAATCACATTATTTGTTTAACATTTAGAATACTTGCATTTGATTTTTTCAGGCATATGTACAGGTAGTACATCTGCTAATTCTGATGAGCTGAAAGCAAAATCTTATTGCTATACTGCTTTTTTACATATGTTGAAACTGTATGTTTTGAAATTTACAGTTTGTAAAAGCCCAGGTGTATATAGAAATTTAATTGAGCAAACACTTTTTAATCCTTTAATGTTCAGAGCATTTCATTGGGAAAATAAAAATGCAAAAGAAGTCAAACGTCCTTTTCTTTGACAACTGATATATATCTGTGAAGGTGAAATTATATACACAGACAGCATTTGTAAAGCAGCATGAAAACAAATGTGAAGCAATCAGATGCTTTTCTTATTTTTAAAGATCATAAAAGTTTTCTCTGAACTGCTAATTTTAGATTTTTAACGAACCATCCATAACTTATTTCTAGGAACTAAGGGACGTACTCAAGGAACATGAATGGATGTACACAGAAGCCTTAGAATCTTTAAGAGTGTTTGCAGATGATCAAGGTAATTGTCCATTCTGTGTATTATAAAAATACATATTCCCATTACAGTCTATATTTTAGTTTATAAGAAAATAGTAAACCTATTATCTAGTATTTAGAGTAGGGGTGTCGAACTCAATCAGAGAAGGGGCCAAAATCTAAAATCCAGCCTAAATCGTGGGCCGAATGGTTTACTGAACAGTCATAAACTGTCATTGTGATGGAAACGCAGCGGAGTGCAGTGATGACAGCGCGGTGCGGGCCACATTGCAAGGCCTGGCGGGACGGATTTGGCCCGCGGGCCTTGTGTTTGACACATGTGATTTAGAGCATGGGATTGTAAAAGATATTAGAAACAGTAAAGAAAAAAAATATATAAATGGCCAGTTCCCAAATGTTTTGGCCTATTCTTTATGATAGTGTAAAATGAAATAATAATAAATTTATTTTTCTGTTTGGATAACTTTCTTTGATATTTATGGCTACTGTAATCTATCATGTTTTATTGAATATAAAAAAAACTCACACCAAATTTTTTTGCATTTTAATAGCTCTCTGAATGGATCTTAATGATTGCCGGTCACTGTTATGTAGAAGTCCTAGCCTGCACTTGCATGAATGTCAAAAGTACCAATATCAGAAACTTAAAAAAATGGGACTCACTGGCATGGAAGAAAATCCTTGGTGGAACACTAACCTTAGGAATCAAATAGTTTATGAGAAATAGTTGGGAAGAGTTGAATCACTCAAGTTTAGTAACATCCTTAAGCAAGAATTAAGTATACTAGCTCTTTATAATTGGTTTTTGGTTTTTCTTGTTTTGAAAATGATTCCTTTTAAGAATGGCTATACTACAAATGCTTTTGTTGGCACAGAAAATGATATTGTGTGGAGTAAAGAAAGCCACTGATATCACCAATTCTGAGTCAGAAAATTGATTCAGAAGAGATAGGTTATGAAGTGAAGAAATTACCCAATTTATCTTGCTTATTTTTTTAATATATGCACAAGAATGAAGGTGTATTATAATCAATGTGTAAGTCTAAAAGCTCTTTGAGTAGGTAAAACAAAGACATTCTAAATATAAATTCTTGTGTAAAAATTAATTGGTACATATTTTCTTATTGCTACATTAAAATTACCTTCAATTACAGGCATGTTAGAAATTTGGAATATGATTTATTAATCAGTGATAAAGCAGTGGTGCCTTTTAATATATTTAAATACTTTTTTACTAAGTAATGATAAACAGACTACTTAGAGGTAGTAAGGGAAAAATTAATTATAATATGGAAGGTTTTAATTTGGGTGAGCCTTGTAGGGATGGCTGCAAAGTAACATCTGGGACATGTGGGTATGGAGCTGCCATTTATATTTTAAGACCTTTGTTAGAAAATGTGGATTTATAATTAATACACTTTGAAAAAGAAGTTATCACCTGTTTTTGAAACTAATTATTCTAACTTATTGAATAACTTCAAATTGTACTCAGTATTTCTCTTAGTGAGTATCAAGATTTAACAATAATTTATAGTTGAATTTTGTATTCAGAAGGAAAAATACACGTTTCAATATTTTTCTTATTTGAAGTGTTACATTGTTTAATTTATATCTTTGTAATTTAGTTATTTTTGTCTTTCTTTGTACACAGAATATGCTTCACAAAGTGAGTTTCCAAATGGAAAAGAAGTTTCTTCGAGAAGTCAAAATTATCCTAAAAGCATAGCTAAAGCAAAACTTAAACAGAAATATGCCATGAAAGCACAAAATGGTTTTAATAAGAAACGTAAAAAAAATGTATTCAATCCGAAGAGAGTTACTGAAGACTCTGAATATGATTCAGGTTCTGATGCAGGTAGTTCACTAGATGAGGACTATAGTAGTGGTGAAGAAGTGATGGAGGATGGTTATAAAGGTAAAATTCTTCACTTCCTTCAAGATGCTTCAATTGCTGAACTTACTTTGATTCCTCAGTGTTCTCAGAAAAAGGCTCAGAAGATAATAGAACTCCGGCCCTTTAATAGTTGGGAAGCTCTGGTAAGGCTACATTCTTTATCTCCGTGTGTGTGTGTGTGTGTGTGTGTGTGTGTGTGTGTGTGTGTTTAATTCACAGTACCGTTTATACTCAATGTATCTTCAGCCCAGGGAAGCATAGATGGGTGGCCTTATCCTCTGTAGAGGCAAACATTACTTTCATTGTAAGCCAATAGTATTTCAAATAGTGTCATATGACCTAATTTTGAATGAATTAAGGGGTGATTTTCTTGAAAAAAAAACTCAAGCTGATTGGCTAGGCATACTGTCACTCATTCTTTTGCATAGAAACTTGGTTCATTTCACTGCAGAAGAAAAAATTAGAGCTTACATTTAGAAAGGAGTTGTTTGCTAGCCTGTTCTGATCTGTTACTGCTGATACACCATGCAGAAAGCAAGAATGTGGCAGAAATTTTACTGCAACTACTTGAAGAGCAGTAGCAACATCCAGGGGAGCTCCATAATTCAAAATGCCAGCCTAGGTGTTTTATGCTTCTCCACAAAAGAAACAATTGTTTATTTTCTTTTTCTTTTAAAAGTGACAGCTCTAACATGTTTTTCTTGGTTAAACAACGCGGCCATTTTATGGAGTATAGCTGGCTGCAGCGTTTTTAATTGGAAAGATAGAAAAGTGTGGAAGCCTAGAATTCAAGCGTTAGGGGAAGGGAAGGCATAAGCACTGGTAAGTACACTCGGCATGATCATTTTCTGGAATTTGATTTCCTATAAACAAGTTTTAGTCAAAATATTTATATTTTGAGTCTTGTAAATGTGAACAGTCAGCAAATCTTATTCATACTCTTTTCTTTTAAAATGTTGCTTGAACTTTTGTGAGAATGTGGACTTTATAGTATGAATTGTGTATAGGCCCTGTTGTGAAAACAATATAGATTATTTTTTATAGCTTTAGAAGATAAACTGACCCTTGATGCTTTATAAATGTTCATGAAGTTTTTATTCGCTAACTTAGGGAGAAGTTGCTTTTGTGATTAATTTTGTACTTGTGACAAACAAGTTCCCTTGACAAATGTCTTGAAGTGGTGTTATCGGAGGGTTCCTAAACACTGGTTGTAAAAACAAGTTTTAAAAAAATTAAAATCCATGAAAAATATAGAAACAAAATAACTAGTATTTCTCAGCTTTAGGAAAAAAAGTCATTTGTTTTGCCTTGAAGCCTTTGCAGAGAACATCTGTCAAAGCAGGCCCTTCAAACGTGTTCAGCTTTGCCTGAGTGATTTATTTGTTCAAGTATTTGCTGAAGGGCTTTCTTGTTCATCTTTTCTTCCTTTTTTAATTTCTTTTCATCTTTAATAGTCTCCTCTGTTATTGCAGGGTTTCTGTTGCTCAGGCTTGTTGGGATTCTAACTTACTTAATAAGGAATGCAGTTATCCGCACTAGTGTATTTAGTCACTGTAACTACTTGTCCAAATATCTTATAATAACAGTAAATTAAACCAGTTGTATGTGCCAGATGCTTTAAAAATATTCAGCAACTTAACATGTAGAAAGCATATTTTCCCTACTAATTAATTGGCATAGATTAAATTAGTCTTAACATGAGTTTATAGATTGTGTGTTACCTGCTTAAACCTTGTCCCCTTTCTAAAAGTTGAATACAAGGACTATTTTTTGCTAGCTATGCATGTAAATGTTGATTATTTTATGTAACATTTAAAAAGTAAATTTGCTACTTGAGTTCAGTATTCAGGGCTTTTCTGAAAAAACTAGGAAAAAGAAAATGCTTTTTAAATGAGTAGTTTAAAATTAGCAAGTCAGTGTATATAAACTTTGAGTTTTAATTGGCTTAGAACTTATAAGTTTATACTTTCAATTACTTTAAAATTTTGAATATGACTGGTTGTAGAGCAATTTAATATTTTGAAATTATCAAGGAAAAAGTCAAATATTTTGGTAAAAAGCTATATAATTACTCCTTCCCTATTAATCAAAGAGGTTTAATAGCATAAGTGTGAACAACTTCAAAATGAAACAAAAGAAAACATTTGCTTTGTCTTCATAGCTGCTGTTTTAAGAAATACTTATGAGAATTAGTTGAAATTTTAATTATGTTACTCAGGCATACTTAATGGAAACTATAATACATTATACAAGGGGTGGCAAAAGTAGGTTTACAGATGTGCTTATGTGAAAGTTTTTTCTTGGATGGTTATTTATCAATTATTGCATTATTTTCCATATGAACCACTGTAAGCCTACTTTTGCCCTAACACGTATAATAACAGCATGCAAAAGTCTAGTAAACTGTTAACATTATTATTGAAACTTATTTAGTCTTCGGTATTTGGAATTTGGCAATATTTATTAATATTTCATTAAATGCCTACTAAGCCAACATATTAATTACACCTACATTTTAAATATGATTTTGGTTAAAACTGAATTTTCTGTAACATTAGTGGGTTAAATGGAACCATTAGTATTTCATTGTCTTATTTTAAAAATAATTTGAATGTGAAAATTATGTTAGCACTGCCTTTTAAAACAAAAGTTATTTGAATAGTTGTGAATCATTGTTAGGACTTTCTTTTCAGAGAATTGCAATTAAAAAATTAATGATCTTAAATATACTAATGACACTCACTTTACATGAGGAAAATTTGGTTTTTAACAAAAAAAAAAATCAGTGCATTAGATGAGTGTCTATGTTTTTAGCATTATACTCATTTTTTTTCTTTGAACCCGAACTTAAATATTGTGTGTCAAAGTTTTCTTCATAACTTTTTCTTTTTACTTAATAGCAGTAAAGTATATGTTTATTTTAAGAAACCACATCATTAAATCATGTAAACTTTGGAAATACAGCAAACCAAAAATGTCACTAGTCTTAAAACATGTACTGTTAATGTGTTAAAATTGGGATTTTTATTGCCAGATTTCACACATTTGATGGCATCAGTTCACCAACTATTTCTGAATTTTTGATTAGCCTTGTATAAGGTGGGTTAGAGATGCAATTTTGTCTATACATTGCATTTGTATACTTTATTCATGAGTAACTGATTCATGAATAGCTCTGCCTGAAAACTTCATTTATGCATTTACTTCTTTACCATTTAGATCAGAATAGATATACTTTTCCATCTTGATTGTTAACCAGGCACCCTAGGTTGAGTTCATTTTTTAGTTTATTTAAGCTCTTCATTGAGCTATTCCGATCTACTAGAAACTTAGACTAACAACCACAGGTTTTCTTTTTCTGCTTTGTTTTCTCAGTAGTACTATAAAATTCTGTCTGATTTTGTCACTTACAGTATTGTAATAGCTACTGCTCTCTTCCTGATAGAGTGGCTTCAGTAATGCTTGTACAAAATTACAGTATTCAGCTTTGTTTTAATTTTTTTGAATTTGACAAACTTTTTTTTTTTTATAAATTTATTCTGAATACTTTGTAAGCTGGTGGCAGGTATTTATAGCAATGAATAAGATTAATACTCTGTTTTCAAGACTGCTACTTGTTAGGTGAGGAATCAAATCTACGGGTAAACAATATCCTTATTCCTATAGAAATTAAAAAAAAAATTGTGCTGTAAGAGTGACACACTGTGGCAAGAGAGAGGTACTTCAGTTTATGGCTATTTTGAAAGGACAAAAATTCTTAGAGTGGTATTTGAATTTTTTGTCAAAGAGATAATAACCTGGGCCATATTGATACTATTTTTCTCATGTAATTAATTTTCTAGCAAATAACAATTACCATTTTTTCTTTCTTTCTGGAAAAATAGCTTTACAATTTAAAAAAATAATAATTTGTTTTCCTTGTCTAAAATTGAAAGAGTACTTGCAAGAATAAGGAAGAAAGTTAAATTTAATAAAAATTCTAACAAAAATACCCACTACTTAATTATTTAGCATTCATCTATTTATACCTACATTTTTATATTTAACATGTAAATAGGATCATATTTCTATGTCATCAATAACTTAGACTTATTAGCAGATCCTGTATTTACAGAATACTTTGTATTTCTTTAAAAATTTTTTGGTAAAGCTAAGTAACTTACAGAGTTGTTAAATGCTTTATGTCTTCAAAGAATAGTAAAATAATAATAAGGGTGTTCTTAGACCTCCCTTCCCACCCCCCACTCCTACATACACACGTACTTAGTGAAGGAATTGTGGAATTAAATATTAGGGTTTTCGCTTTTTCCCCCCTCTTCTGGAGACAGTGGTTTCCATTCACCATGGTCCAGCATTTGACATACTATCAGAGGCTAGCCTACACTAGGCTGTCCCAAACCCCTGGTAATACAATTCTTTATACCAGGATGGTTGGGAAAGCACCCAAAATCTGCATGTGTGCCCAGGCCGACTTTTCGGAGTCCATGCTGTGAGACCTAAAGTTCTAATGAGGTTGTCTCAGAAGAAAAAAGGGCCTATGGTGGTTCCATGTGTGCCAAGTGTGTTCATGACTGGATGAAGAACGCTTTCTTTATTGAGGAGCAGAAAATCATTATGAAAATGTTGAAGGCACAAAAACAGAATCAAAAAGCTTTTTTAAACAAATCTTTTGAGTAATAAAAATAATTAAAAGGAAAAAAAAATAAGAGCTTTAAAAAAGTATTTTGATATTTTTAAATTTATGTATGTATTTTTACTGATTTCAGAGAAGGGAGAGAGATAGAAACATCAAATATGTATAGCTTATCTAATAAAAGGGCAATATGCAAATTAACCATCACTCCATCACAAATATGGCAGCGCCCAGTCCTCTCAGCCCTGCCAGAGTACCCTAGTCCATGGGGGGTGTCTGCTCAGAGCAGGCAGCATGAGCAGATGGGCGGAATGCTTTCTTCGTCACCACAGTGACAAGGCAAGCATTCTGTGCCTGGCTGCGGATGTGCCTCTGGCCAGGCTTGGGCATGGATGGGCCTCTATGCCACAGAGAGCTTCTGGGCAGCAGACACAGAGCAGCCAGGCCCTGCAGAGAGCTACTGGTGCATGGATTTGTGCGCAGTGCTACTGTTGTATATTTGTGTGTGTG